CTATTATAGTGTAGAGGTTAGGAACCACAAGATGTAGAGGCTCAGCTATGTCATTTATGGTTCTTAAGTCCTGGAGGAAATTCCATTGATGTCATATTCTTATTCATAGAGTCCATCTTCTTGAATAATTTGCTCAGCATATAGATTAAATAGGTATGGAGAGACAATACAACTCTGGTATACAGACTGAATGTTGTTGTGTACCGTAGCGTTGTAACTGACCCATAGCTGAGACAATGGAAGGTTTTCAGAGGCAATTAATCACACAGGAGGAGACTGTCCATCCTTTTCCCATGGAGCAGCTGGTGGCCTTGAACAGCATACCTTCAGGACTGCAGCACAGCTTCTTGCCACTAGGCCACCAGAGCGCCCACAGATTGGATGTTGTTGTTGTTGTTATGTGCTGTCAGTCATTTGTGACTCATAGCGACCCTGTGTACAACAGCCCTAAACCGTGCTCTATCCTGTGCCAATCTCATTGCCTCTGATACACCCATCCCGATTACCCCAGTCACTGAATCAATCCACCTCATAGAGGGTCTTCCCCTCCTGCGCTGTCCCTCTACTCTACCCAGCATGATGTCCCTGTCCCTCTCTAAAGACCTGTCTGTCTCTCCTTACAACATGTCCAAAGTATGTCAGACAAAGCCCCTGAATCCTTGCCTCCAAGGAGCAGCCTGGTTTAACCCTCTCTAGGTTGAATCTGTCTGTTTTCTTGACAGTCCATGGTACATTCAATACTCTTCTCCAGCACCACAGCTCAAAGACATCAATTCTCCTTCTATCCTCCCTAGTCATTGTCCAACTCTCTGATGCATAACAAGTGATTGCAAAAACCATGGCCTGTATCAGGCGCACCTTATTGATGCCAGATGGATTCTGACTGAAAACAGGAAATACCAAAAAGATGTTTACTTGAGTTTCATTGATTGTGTGAAGTCATTTGACTGTGTGGATCATAACAAGTTATGTCTAACATTGAGAAAAATTAAAATCCCAAAACACTTAATTGTGCTGTACAACAGATTGGATAGGTATGGATAAATAAAAATACAACCCTGATGAAAAGCTTTCCTGGTTTTAAACTGTTCAGTGTTCCCTAGTTCTGCTTGGACAACTGCTTCTTGGTCTATATAACGGTTTCTCACGAGCACAATTTTTACTTTTTAAGTTATTGATATTTTACTATAATAAGTTGAAAAATATATTATTTATAAAAGAAAAATAATACAAAAATTTCTAAATTTATGAGTATCTAACAGAAAAAGTATAATGGAAAGTAATTTTTTTCCTTTAGTCATAGACAATTTCATTTCACTAAGTTTATCTTCTTCTTGACGGCAGCCCTCATCAAGATTTGAAACTTGACAAGGGCTGGTTTTATTTCTCTTTTTATTTTATTCCCTCAGCACCTTCTACTGGCTCTATTATAATAACATGACCAGTGTAGGAACTGAAATATGTCAATTATGTTGCACTCACTTCCATGATACATCTTCAAGGATATGAACATGTACGGCTAAGCACAATTGATAACAGTGCATCTAAATTCCAAAATCAGTCTCCATAATAGT